CTGTCACTGAGTCAAAAAGATGTCCAGCATGGAAACAGGCCTTTTGGTCCAACACGGCCATGCCGACCAGGTATCCTAAATTAACCTAGTTCCAAGGAAGGGTCACTCAACCCAAAACGTTAACTCTGATTACTCTCCACGGATGCTGCCAGACCTGCTGAGCTCTTCCAGCAATTTCTATTTTTGTGTCTAAATTAATCCAGTCCCATTTGCCAGCATTTGGCCCCTATCCCTCTAAACCCTTCCTATCCATGTCCCCATCCAGATGCCTTTTAAATGTTGTCATTGTACCAGCCTCCACCCACTTCCTCTGGCAGCTCCTTCCACACACGCACCACCCTCTGTGTGAAAAAGTTCCCCCTTTTATATCTTTCCCCTCTCACCTGAAACCTATGCCCCTCTAATTTTGGACTCCCCCTACCCTGGGGATAAAAAGACCTTGTCTATTCACCCTATCCATGCCCCTCATGATGTTATAAACCTCTATAAGGTCACCCCCTCAGCCTCCGACGCTCCAGGGAAAACAGCCCCAGCCTCTCCCTGTAGCTCAAACCCTCCAACATCCTTGTAAATCTTTTCTGAACCCTTTCACAACATCCTTCCTGTAGCAGGGAGACCAGAATTGCTGACAGTATTCCAAAAGTGGCCTAACCAATGGATCACAGCTGATCTCTGGACTCCATGCCCTAACCTCACCAGGCCCCACCCCCACCCCTTTAGGTCCAACAGCTGTATTCACCTCCTTCTTGAAAACACAATGTTTTGGCCTCAACCACTCTCCATTGCAATGAAACCTCACCACAGTCTGGGTGAAGAAATTTCTCCTCGTTGGGAGTGCTCAAAAGGTTTAAATCTTATTCTTAGACTGTGACCATGGCCTCCCACTACCCCAGCATCATCTGGAACATTCCTCCTGTGTTTAGCCCGCCTCATCCTGTTAGAATTTTGCAAGTTTCTGTGAGATTCCCCTCCTCATTCCTCTACGCCCCAGCCTATACAATCCCTAACCTTCTCAAAATACTTCGCTCCCGCCTTCCCATGAACCGAGGCCGTTGGTGTTCAAGGAGCTTCTGAAGCTTGTGAGGCACTGGATGGGAGTGAGGCTATTCAGCCCATCGGGTTCTGCCCCACCATTCAGTGATAACGTGGCAGATATCATTAGGCTCGACCCCACTCTCTTGCCTTTTCCCTCGACTCCCTCGCTGATAGAAAGTCTCAGCCTCTGACATATTTAATGGCGCAGCCTCTTTGCAATTGAGAGAAGAAAATGGGCGGCCCCTTATTCTGAGATGATGCGCCTCTGATCAGAGGGGAAACAACCTTTCCACATCTCCGCTGTCAAGTCTCCTAAGATTCTTATGAGTCTCAGAGAGTCACAAAGACAATGACGGAAGGAACTAAAGAGCTTACAGTGAAGACAAGGCAGAGAAAGACTGTTGAGATTCAGGTTAAACTGGTTCTTAAGGGTTACATCCTCTTTCGTGTGCATAAGCCAACCTCTCTTCCCTCATCCACCCATAATAATTCCATGATTGCAAACCAGGCTGGAATCAGTTCAATGCTGAGGTAGCGAGCGCTGTTGGAGGGTCGGCACCGAGGGAGCGGGCGCTGTCGGGGGGGTCGGCGCTGTGGGAGTGCCGCACTGACGGAGGGTCAGTGCTGAGTGAGTGCCGCACTGA